CTAGCGAACGAACAGCAAACGTAAAAATTTGTATTGTTGTTTATTACATAAAAGTCGCACAAGTTTAATTGCTACATGGAACGAACATCGAATCTGGTCGAATACTAGTATTCCGTACAATCAAGAAAAAGAATAAACTGCTCACAAATATAAACACTAATATCCGAACATTCGCGTTCGGTGTTCGTTCGCTAGGTGTACACATGGCTTAACATGCTCTAACAATTAATATATGCTCTTACTATAGTTTCTACTCACTTCAACGAGCGTATACTGATCAGTTGCAGGATTTTCTAAACGATTTATCAACAATTGTCGCAATCGTTAACTAGCGATAGCCAATGAGTGCCGCGCTTTCTTCCAAGATAGTCCTGCTATTGGCTGTCGCTAGTTAACTTCTTCTTTACTTAATGGCTCTCGCCTCCAAATAGTAATAGGAAGTCGATACGGCTAGATCGCATCACAAATAAATATTATTCGAGATAAGAGTAACAAAAGTCTAAAAGAGTAACGAACCCAATTGTGCGTTTGAAGCCGGTCACACTTTCCAAAAATAATGACGCAGTCCGATCACGTCGGCAGACGAGAATAGAATTATCGCTAGTTAACGATAGCGATCATCAATCAAACGTTTAGAAAATCCTACTACAGGGAATACGATAGCGCCTCTCAGCGTTAATCAAATTAACTGAAATCGCACTTATACTGATGATAAAATAGCTGAATTTATAAAGATTTCACGTGTCATATATTATCGCGTGTTATAATCTCGAAGTCAGCCTTGAACTTTATTCTCATGTTTTCAAGGCCGAAAAATCATTTCGGCGCGTGTTTCTGGGGACTACATACGTAGTATATAAATTCACACAAGAATCATACAAGCATTAAAGATCCAGCTAGACCGGTTAAGGCTTTTCTATAGTTTGTATTATCACACATTTCGGCGCGTGTTTCTAGGGACTACATACGTAGTATATAAATTCACACAAGAATCATACAAGCATTAAAGATCCAGCTAGACCGGTTAAGGCTTTTCTATAGTTTGTGTTATCACACATACACGGTCCTATAATATATTATATTATATATTTTAAATTTTAGGATGTGCAGGATGTTCTTTAAGTACATTGTCATTTTCAAGAGGGCAATTTTTTGGTTTATTTCAAGAAAAAAAGTATATATGAACATGTGTCCTAAACTCACGTAAAGCAAGGCATATTTATGCAAAAGAATATCCCCAACGCAATTTATCATATCGTCGAACATTTGTTAACATTCACCTCTCACACAGAACACATTATCCATTATGGGCCTTCTACAATAAGCCGCAAGTCAGAACGTTAGAAGTCTTAACCAGTCTTAACCAAGTCGTTTAAGTTGGCTATTGGTCAACTTCACCGATTATGATTTAAGATCGCTTAGAACTTCTGACTTGCGGCTTATTGTAGAAGGGCTATTAGACGTCCACATGACCTCTATAATTCTCCATGCGACATCTATCTACGATGGAAGTCACATAGATGTCCATTAGAGATCCATAATAGATGTTCATTAGAGATTTACGATATGCGATCCACTAAAAATCCACGATGGACGCGTCCATTAGATAGACTAATATTTACATTTTATTACGAAATTAATATATTCAACTGACTTCATAATCATATTCTACAAAAGTTAAAATACTATATATATGTATACATCAATTTCAATATATACATATAGAAACTTTAAATTTCTAGAATTGATATAATAGCCAGACATAATGTAAATCAATTATAAATGAATTATAGAGCTCCAACAGACGTTGAAAGGACGTTGTATGGATCAATTGTAGATGTTTTAAAGAGCTCCATTAGGAGTTTAAAAAACGTTATATGATTCAAAAGTAGATGTTTTATAGAGCTCTAATAGATGTTTAAAAGACATTGTGTGAATTAAATGTAGCTGTTTTATAGAGCTTCCGTAGATGATTATTAGGTGTTGTATGGATCAACTGTAGACGTGTTATGCTGGATCTACAATAGGAATCGTAGTGGTCGTAGAGTCTTAAGTCGCAAAAAATTAATCAATCACGGTCGAACATGAGAAGAACAATAGACATTATTATTATAAATATGTAAAAAATGTTATTATTTTTTAAAACACAAATTAATAAAGAATGTGTCGGAATAATAAAATAATCATAGAAGATAAGTTAACAACACAATATAATTGTGGTAAGTGTACTTATGGACAATAAGAACTGTGTGTATCGACAGTTATAAGTGGCATAATGAATAAAGTACGAGACTCATAACCCTTGAGATCCCAGGTTCAAAACCCAGCCAGTATTTTGGAAACCAAGCCATTTGAGACACGTATTCATATGAACTTTCTTAATTTAAAATAAAATGAAAACTATATATGTAAATATATATGGCAATTTTTTCTTATTTTCTCAAATTTAACGTTAATAAGAATAAAAAAATTGTAAAAATTATTCTTTTAATTTTTTCATGTTTTTTATTATTATTTTTTGTATCGAACAGAATAAGTGCTTCAAAAGAAACTAACATATGTATACATATGTATATGGACATATTTATATATGTTTACATATATGTTAATATTTATATATGTTCTTATATAAAAAACTTTTTATCGAAGTATAAATTCTTTGGTAACAATTTTTTTGTAATTTTCTTTTTTTTATTTCTATTTTTTTCTCTTTTGCAAAATTGTTTAATCAATAGCAATGTGGATATTTATATAAACTATGAGGTGAACATTTTATGGGTACCTGTGTGATACGGATATTCGCGGAATCAGTCTTCACTCATGTGCAACAAATGACTAACGGGCGACTCGGATTCTCCGGTATTCCAAGCACTAATGCAAATCTGCTATAATCAAAAACTACATAGCTATAGCTTTGAATTTGTGTTGGGCAACATCATGTATAATGTGATTTATACTTTCACCCTGTTACTGTGACTGCAGCTTGATGCACGTACTATGTGAATTAGCGTCCTACTTTCACGAGATAACCGAGAATGGCTAAAAATATTAGCCAAAACGTTCATCGTGTAATATTTCATGTAAATTTATTAAATTAATATATTTATAGTTAAATACATAATTATCGTTTAAAAGCCTATTGTCGCTTATCCTTTTAAATTATATTATCGAGAGTCCTATCTGTTTATTTTATTCATTACACAATTTCTAATTATAGTTAATTCTCTACCGACAATGTAAAATTTTCATTTTTTTTACATCAATTGATTCATCTCATTATTCAATGTGCAGAAGTATCAAGATTATACGAAATATTTCATATTAAGTAATATGTGCCAGACTAATGTATAAAATAACTCTAAAATTGATTTTTCGATATCTCCATACTTTTATATGCAGAATAATTAGAGAATCATATTGAATAATTAGAGAATAATTAGAGAATCATATTGAATGAAAAAAATTGTTTGCATTAAAAAAATGACTATAACTTTCATATATCCTTGAAATACAGGTTTTTTCAAAAATTATTTTTACTTTATTTGTCCCCTTTCAAATCTTGGGTGCGTTTCCAGTTACGCATAAAACTGCATTACTGTTGCGCTTTGAAATCGTTCTATTTTGTCAATGCGAATAAAGCACTTTAGTTATTCGAAACGATTTTCTACGCGGTCCGCGCATTAGTACAAATTATAAAAATATTAAAAAAATTTAATATATATTTTTAATTATATTATTATATCATATATGATAATTAGAGTCTGACCGAAACTTTTGCTGAAACTGAACCGAAACACTCGGCTACATGTCAATCTCAACCAAAACCGAAACTAAAATTAAAAAATAGGAATTCTGTAAAGGTCATATGTCACAGACAGGCGCGCATATACCATATACTTTTTTTCATAAATATCACAATTTATTGAAATAATAATTAAATTTCGATCAAAATCAAAAACCGAAATTTCGATTGTGAGTCAATTTTGGTCAAAGAATATAAGTACTTCTTCATAAACATCAACAATTTAATTATTGAAATAATTCCACATTACAAACATATATCTATATAGACATTTCGGCTAATCTTTTAGCCATCATCAGTATCGCGTTACAAAAAGACGATGATACATGCAGTCCCTCCTATGCAGTCCCATACCAGTTAGGCAGCTGGATGGTGTCGATTGTTTGATCTTTAAAGGTGACATGGTCAGAAATTATTTATGAAGAAGAGCTATATGGTTTCAGTCGAAATTGACATGTAATGAGTGTTCATTTTCAGTTACGATCGGACTCTAATGATAATATATAATATAATGTGTACAATATACCTATATAATATTATTATTATTATATTGATATATTGTTATTATATATATTACTTCACTATATTTTTATTTATTATTTAAAAGTATTTAACATAATACATTAAACTTTAAAGATTGACTTCCAAACTTAAAACTTGTAATTAATTAAGATGAAATAAACTAATTGTAATGTAAAATATTATTTCATTTAAGGCTTCAAATTGTCCGTTATTCGTTTAGACTTTTTCTTTACTATAATATTCGTTCTTCTTTTTTAGAACCTTTAAATGGATTTCCCACTTAAGAATCACAGTACCATGAATATTTATTCCGAACAGCATGAAGCGCATCGGACGCTTCAACTGTCTCAAGTCGAAATAGAATCCCTAAAGCAGTCAATGCACTGGAAGAAGTGCTAAGAATTCAATACGGATAGCACAATCTAGGAAATTCTCAGCGCTACTAAAATACTTCCAATAAATACATTGGTTCGAATCGGAACGATTGTCTATGCAGTCTACGTGCTTCATGCATAACTCGGAACGCATCCCTTATTATAACTTTTGTCTGAGATGGTTTTTCGTATCTTATATATTTTTCGAGATATTTACCTGGGAGAATTAAAATGGAACACTTTGTAGTACATATAAAAATTATATATAAATATATTTATACATATATGTGTATGTTATTTATAAAGTTTACTCATGTTTCAATTCATAATAACTATTTGATGTTATCTCTATAAGATATAGGGTAAACTTCAATTTTAAAAATTAAAGTATCGTGCTGTAGAAAATCAGTTATGTCGCGTATACATATAAATTCTGTATAACCGAAGCTACGTTTATTCAATTCACACATGGGTTTTTGGAATGCCTCAAGACCTGATATTGACGATGTCTTTTCACATATATTTTTTTCCGAATTTTGTGGATGTACCAATGCAAAAAACATTGTACCATTAAACGGCCAGTCCAAAGCATCGTCATTTTCTGATTTCATAATATGTAAAAGAAAAGACAGATAATCGTGATTCTTGGACGATATATTAATCCTCGCACAGATCTTATATCCGTTTGGACTTGTATAAAAACCTGGACTATAGAACATTTTTTGTGGATCGTTTGTCATAGCGTCGAGTTTTTCTTGAAAAGATTTCAGTCTCCATATATAAACTCCATTACAATTTCGTAGACACATAGCCGCTAGCTGATTTTTCTGATTAGATACTGTTATAGAGAGCTCCCGGTTTTCTTGTTCCAAAACTACTATTCTTTCATATAGATTTCTAAAAACAAAGTTTATATCTTTCGTATGTATTTCAGTATATATAAATATAATCTTTTTAAAATCATATTTAAATTACTTGAGCAATTGTTGCCAATCAGGAGAAGGCTCTTCCTTGTCTGCAACTTGTATCCTATTTTTTAGAGGTGGATCCCATAATTTTGACTCCACAGACATTGCATTAGTGCTATTTTGTACTATCAGACAATTATAACAATTAATTTTAAAAAGTAGGGGCAATTTATATTACTTTGTATATTAATTTGTATTATATAAAATATACCTCGAGGCTCTGAAATATCTTGTTTATATGTGCACTGAGTGATATGCGTTTCCATATCCACAGGAGACAATTTTACTTGACAACCAAATTGCTGATAAATACAACTTGTACGTTTCTGAGATATCTCTCTAGTGGTATAAAGATCTGGGAAAAGGTTTTCAGATTTCAAAGGTTGACTATCAACTGGACAGCAAGCGCCTTCTTTCCTAATAATTCATAATGACCAGTCAACTTATATACAACGGTAGAATCATTAATGAAATGATACAACTTACTTAAGCCAAGTGTAAATGCACTGAGAACAAAATTTATGGCCACAAGATGTTAAAACTGGATCGCGTAGCCATGTTAGACATATAGGACACTCAAATCTAGGCTCTACGTAGCCTTTGATATTCTCCTCACACTGCGTGCAACGAAATTGTAAATAGATATTTACAAATAAATGATACACATTAACACAAATGTTAAAACGGATAAAAATAAAGATCATGAGGTAGTTTTGTTTGATAACAAACAATAATTAATTTCATATTTGCCAAATAAGTGTAAAGTCAATAAACAGACACAAATAAAAAAATATTTTCTATTTTACAAAATTGCAGATACGTACGTTTTCGCTTTCCTCGGCGACCTTAGCAGGTTCTACTGAGTTGTCCGACGTTTCCATAATCTACAAATAATCATTTTGTTTACTAAATTAGACAACAAGATATCTATGAAGGACATCAAGATAATTATTGAGTTAAGTTACCATACCTTTGATATTGAGAGAATTAGACTTATTCGATGTTTTCGCACGAAATGAGTGAATCTAATAGACAAAAGCTTCACTCTGCTCAGCGAACTGAGATTAATCGTTAAAGTTGACGACTATTCAAGTTAGGAAACCTGAATAGTCGCCCTACCTACGAAACGCAGGATTCAGGAATCAAGAACATGAGTTCGTGAGTCGATATACTGATTAACAAATGCACGAAACACGACTAGAGACGAGACACCAGTAACGACTAGCGAACGAAAACACTTGTGCTAAGCGCTAGGCGATCCCATGATCCATGATTCCCATGATATAAAAATTATAGGCCCGTATGCCCGTAATCAAAATTTTCAAAATACGCTTAGGAAGTGTTCACATCTTGGCGGAAAAGTAGAAAGCGGAAAAGCGGAAGCCAATCAGAACTCGCGGAAAGACAGAAGCTGACAAGCGGAACTACTGTGAACTACTGTACCGCCTATTACTATCGCAAGTTCCGATCAGTGTAACCTAAAAGCAATGGCCGATCGTACCAGGGCCGTAAAATTATCGTACCTAACCCAGAATTATAGTACATACATACATCGCGCGCGCGAACAAATTTAAATACGAAATACGTAAAATTTTAATCCGTAATTAAGATGGGGTCAGAAATAACAATTTTATTTATTACTTAACGTTGAAGTGATTTAGGCTGAAACCAGCTTCCGAAATAGATCAGAAATTTCTCGATCAATTCTCAACCGATTTCGCTGAAATTACCCATTCAGCACTTTAGAAGCCCCTTAATACACGATCATTGAAACAATAACCAATATTTTTTATTGATTTCAAAAGCTTGAACATTCTATAGAATAAACTGTATTTCTATAATATCCAGGTTAAAAATACAAATTGGAAAGTGATTATTTCAGTATATTTAAAACAATTTTAAAAGAAAGAAACGTGGCTACAAATGTGGCTTTTTACATATATTGACAGTAGACAGTAAGTTCACTTGTATTGTCAATATCACAATTTTTTATATATGTAGTACGTATGTATATTTTTTCATATTTATCGTAGTAGCATCAATTATAGTCATTTCACTTCACAGATTAAGCCACGTGACTAGAATGATAAATCTTTGATAAGATCATGACTAACGGGCATTCCACACAACTTGCATAGTCGCATAACCATATGCATAAAGAAAATTATCTAATCACATTTCTGTCATAAAGACAAACGTAAACTATGATTGGATGATTTTCTTTATGCACATGTTTATGCGACTATGCAAGTTTGTGTGGAATGGTCTTAAAGGCCGCGACACAAACTTTTGCATAAAGCATAACGCATAGTGCATAAGGGAATCAACCAATCGAAATTCTTCTTTTTCATGGAATGGGAGAAAAGGAATGATTCTGATTAGTCTGTGCTGCGACCCATAGGCCTTATGGCGCGGTTCCATGGTGCAGAATTGGCACAATGTGGAATTGGCGGAACGTTCGTAATTGGTCCTGGCTTCATTCCGCCGATTCCGTTCCGCTAAAATGTGTTTTCCTATGTCCCATTGAACGGAATTTGCAGAATGCACAATTAACTCTGACCAATCGCAAAAGATCCCGTAGATCACTTTCATTAGATCTACCGGAATAGCGTTTGTCATTGGCTCGCATTGATTGTGCATCCGCAAGTTCCGCTCAATGAGACATAGGAAAATGTATTCCTGCAGATCGGAAATCACACATATATATGACAGGGACATTGCTGACTTCGTTTTGTGTACCCATTTTGATTTTGATTTACATTTTCGTCTTTCTGTATGCTATTTATACGACATTCTAACCATATTGACCTCTGTATTTATCTGGAGACTTAATTAATTACCTTCAGGGTTATGTTCAGATTATCACTCGAGTGCCACTCAGGTATCACTTTAATCTTGTTATTTATCGAACGTTAAATAAGAATGACACCCGGAGAACACTCAGGTAGGAATCCGACACATCTCAGCATGGTGATTAATCATGCGTTTGTATAAAAGAGACTTTTCTCCGTTTAAGGGCCGGTTGTTCTTTTGGTAAATTTTACTTGTTAGGTAAATCTGGCAATCTGCGCATGTGATTGGATAATCTTGCTACTTACCCAACAGGTAAAATTTACCGAAAGGTGGAACAATCGGGCCTAAATCGGATTAATGAGGTAATTTTTTATAAGTACATGTATGTACATGCACACGCACACACGCATGCATCAGCGGAATCCGCAAAAGAAATTAATTTGCACAACAGAAAACGGCGGAATCGGCGGAATGAAACCACGACCAATCACGAACATTCCGCCAATTCCGCACCATGGGACCATGCCATATGTTGGATTCACCCTGCATCCGATGTGCGTCGTACGACGTTCTGCAACCAATCAGAAAACAGGATTCCGATGGATTTTGGTTCATATCATCGGAATCCTGTTTTCTGATTGGTTGCAGAGCTTCGTACGACGCAAATCGGATGCAGGGTAAATCCAGCAATTAAGGATCTCTAATTTCACCATGTGTATCAGTTCAGACAGTGCAGGAATAAAGAACAGACCTAATATCTATTACTACGTTTACACGGCACGCTTTACTCCGAAGCCGCCGAAGTTATAACATCAATGTTATGAAACTGACCAATCACAGTCATTCCATTCTTCAGAGGAATAGCTATGATTGGCCAGTTTCATATATCGATGTTATAACTTCGGCGTAAAGCATGCTGTATAACAGAGGTCTATATGATGCATATATACATATAAAAAATTTAATAATTAAATAATTCATTCGGCGTTTCATAGACAACACGAACTGAACAAATCCAACACACGCGGTGAGTTCGGGCGCCAGGTGTCTTCCTCTGGTCAGGTTGATGTTCAAATGAAACATCACCTGGCAGAAGGTGTACGAAGATTTTCTCCTCTAACGTAAAACAAATAAAAGGAAGCAACATGGTAACATTAACGTTCGATAATAAATAATTGTATTATAAAATTGTTTATGGTATTTAACTAAAGAATTCCATCCGCCATGTTGATTCAACCTCCTTTTTGATTTTTAAATTTTTAAACCCGCCATAACGATTCGGTCATTTATCTTATTCAAACATTTTGAATCCACATTCGTAATATTATATTTCATAATATCTAAAAAGGAGAGTATAATGGAGGAGCGCGCGCTACGCGCGCGCAGAGGATGTGCTAGTTGCTTAAATTTTACTATATTGTTTTTCTTACTAATAAAAATACATATATTTGTTTGATGTATTGTTATTATGTATATTCTTTATTATGACGTCGCAGAAACGGACACCATCAATGGAAAGCAACATCAGCACAAAAAAAGAGACTAAAAGACATGAAGATTTTGTTGCTGAAAAAAACGGATTCAGATGAGCGTCATTTTATCTCATTCTTGTCCCCAGTTGCATCCCGACGTTGCACCCAGACGAGAAATGTTACTTAGATAAGCCTCTATATTTTATTTATATTTACTACGCTGTCGATCATGATACGGATTTTACAAGTCATTAATAATTAAACGAACGTTGCCCGTGTGAAAGCTACGAATTAAACAGACATGGTCGAGCGGTCAAGTTTGAGCGGATTTATGAGTCAGTGAAGAGTCTCCTCAGTTTTATACACACACGCACATAGATTTACTACTTAATAACTTAAAACTCTCTTATTAAACAAGTGTGTACAAGAGGTGTATACAATAGCGGCGATTAGCAACTTTCATTTATTGAGCTAAAACAAAATTATATATAATTTCGACAATTGCATACGTACCAAAATAATTGATTTCATTTATAAGATGTAAATGTAATTATTTACAGAAAGCTAAACGAGCTGCTAATACAAATGTTGGTTTTGAATAGTTCTTATTTCTTGGATAAAAAAGACGATTAAAGAAAATATTCTATAAATATTCTATAAAATATGCAAAAAATTTTGATTATTATCGATGTAATTAATGTAATTTATAAATAAATTAAAAAATTATTCAATTACTTTTAAACGAAAGATTTATAGATTCTATAAAAAATTGTAAAATTTAGAAAAGGATAATTGCAATTGTGAGACAAGAATCTTATTGAAGATTATATCTCCAATGTTAAATAAATAATAAATAAACGTAATTTTTTATATATTGCGATTATTGAAATGTGATAAATCATAATGCACAATTTTTATCTCACACTAACATTGACTGAATTATATTCACAGTTTACTACTACATCATTTCTCAATAACTTGAGTGCTAATCTTTAAGTAGTCATATCACGTTTACATTAAAATTAACTGACACACACACACATACACAAATCATCCTTTGAGAAATACAAGTTCCAAAATTAAGAAAATGCTTTTTGATAAGTACTACATGACGATCATCTAACTGAGAGAACTACTATCTACATAAAAAATTTCTAAGGAAAAAACTGGAGAAAGACTCAAGAGAAATGCATGAATCAGTTGATCGGGTTTTCTTTTCGCAAATAATTGTCACTTCCTGTATTTACTTTCAGCATCTATTAACCATGCAGTAGTAATATATACATAAAACATTCATAATAATACTATTTTGTGTCACTATGAAATTGATAGCGATCTCTAAATTGCAACATTTCTCTTAACTCATTATTTATTAGAAAGTAGCTAATTGCTGATTACACAAACAAAATAGTAGGTTAAAATATTAATCCAAAATAATAATTTTAAATATGTTAAAAATAGTAATAATTAAAATAATTTTTATTTCGTTAAATCTTAGATATAATCTCATATGTTACTTAATTAAATTTCTTAAATGAGTTTTGAAAAAAATTTCTATTTCCTGAAACATTAATGTCGGTTTTAGAAATTTGTCCTTGATTATAAAATTTTATTTGTATACTTAATGCGCTTGTATTTCGTATGATGAATTATTTATGAAGACATTTTGTTTGTCATTTATATAATAAAACTGTATTATCAAAGATGTCGGAACTGGTAACAAACATCAATCAGTTATCATATATATCGTACGGATATCATACGAAAACAAGTCTGAGATATAAAAAAGGATTTTAAGATATTGTAACTTTTAAAAAAATATTTGATATTGAGATGGATTTTTCGATAATTTCATTTAAAATAATCTCAGAAAATTTAATTCTTAAACTTACTGTATTAGTTTGCAACATTACATTTTGGATAAATATTATCTGATATAAATATGTTCCTAATTTTTATAAATAATATGCAAACATAATATGTATTAAGAGAGAGAGAGAGAGAGAGAGAGAGAGAGAGAGAGAGAGAGATTAAGAATATATTTTATAAAATTTAGATAATTATTAATCTAAAATATAATCTTGTAGTGCAATTAATACAGTGTAATCCAAAAATTAAATTTTTGAGATTGTTTTTTTGAACCGAGTGAACTTTTTTATGAATCGACTGCATTATTTAAAATTAAGAAAGTTTGAGTTACTGCTTTTTTTTTAATTAACCAGTGATAGAGAGAATTTCAATTTATTTATTGATAATATGTCACATGTGAAGTTTAATCACACATGTACGAAATACGTTAATAAACTTATCAAATTAATAATTATATCACACTTTTCAATAAATAAATGTCACTTGTGACCGATTGTCACATAGTGAACGTTTGTTGAGCGCGATGAAAGCACGCTTTAATTAGAAATCAAAACCATGTTTATAGGATTTTTATTGTGAAAATTTTAATATGAAAATTTTATTGTGAAGATTTATATTTTCTTTACTTTTTTATAGCAGTTCTATCATATTTTGCAATGATTATATTCTAAAAAACAGAATATGTGGACGTGTATATAGCTGTTGTAAAACGAAGCTATAATTACGCGCAAACGATGTCGATAAGACTTAACGAGCAGCTCTCCACTTGTGGATAAAGAACCGTTTTCGAATTCGAACTCTACTTGCGTGACAAACGAATTTCAGTGTGATTGTCGTAGCAAGTGTGTATATAATGGAACGTTTGTAATATAAAATAGGAAAATTTTTTAAAGCTTTAGATAATTTACTTTTTACGAGTAGTAATATCTTGATTCATATATTATCTTTCATCGATCTTGACCAAAAGGGGCTTCATCATTTTAACTTTTGTTCAATTTAATTAGGTATGTACTTGTTTTGTGCAACATAATTCCGGCTTTCATTGTCCTATTTGTTTTTTTGTCTTTTTATCGATAAATCTCTAGTACTTATGTAAAAACGAGAATAACTTCCACTTTTTCGCGATCGTTCAAGAATTATTTTGTTTCTACATTTTTTAATGCATTCTTCTTCTTGGAAAATTATATAATAATGATTCTATATATTCAAGGAAAAATTAACATATATATCAAAATAAAGAATAAAATCCTTATTCATTTTGTTATGAAATCGCTGTCAATTATATTTCAGTTATTTAAAAAGTAATTCAAAGAGTTGGATCAACAACTCTCTGAATTAGTTTTTAAATGATTAAAGCATAATTGACTTTGTAACGATGTGAACAAGGATTTTATTATTTTTATTTCAATGTACCAATTTTTTCTTGAATGTAGTGTCATTATTATGATCATTTCCGGTCTCTACGAAAAAAATATATAAGGAAATGTAGAAATAAAACAAACTTCAAACAATTGCGAAAAACGTTGTACCCTTCTTTGTAATACCAGTACAAATATATTAGTCAGTACTCTACACATATTTTCGTAATGCTTTTTAATAAGTTAAAAGAGACATAGGAGTACAACATGCAGTTACAGACCTGTACTAGAATACGTTTAATCCTTGAAATTTTATGATAACATTAGATTTTTATCGAGGTTTAGATAGTGAGAAAGCCTAAACGTCCCTGGATCCTTGATTATCTAACATAGTCTCGCTTGCTGTTTTTTTTTGTAGCCATCACAATGGGCTGCCGATATAATCTACGCGTGATCAGAAACGAACGTTAGTCCGCCTCCGCAATATGCGCGCATTGTGCGAATTCGGCTCTCTTCAAGAATATCTTCGGCGGAAATTTTGTAAAAAGTAATACGGAATGTCACTATATAGAATGCGATAATTGTGTTCCTCTTTCCGAGAGTGTTGATATTCTTACAAATATCTTCAACAACTCCCTGAAGTTCAAAGGTCAATACAACTTCTCATTATCATAGAGATAAAGCGTCTCTTCGAAAGAGTATTGAAAAAAATATCTATACACGTATGTACGCACATATAAATACATATAAATACATATTATAAATATACATACGTAATTTTTGCGCAGATCACGAATTATTTGTGAATAATTGTTCGCGACAATTTGCAAGTCAGCTGTATGTTATATGCAATAAACTCGAAACGTTTTAGAACACTGAATTAGAGAACGTATTAAATGGCAATATGTTAAAAAAAGAGTTATCGCTGTTACTGCATTATTTGAATAAGTCTCCCGATAAGATAGCAACAACCATGTTTTTGAAAATCTTCCAGTTTGCCTTAATGGAGAGTCGGGGAAAATACAAACATGTAGAATCAGTTATAAATCGCTCCGACGTAACTATCTACCGGCACGTAACTGTCTCTCAGTATAGTTTTGTCGCGTTTTTACGTTTTCAATGTGTCACAATGTGTTGATCGTTCAAGATGACGTCGATTGTTGGAGAGGGAATTTCGTTGTTCAAGCCCATTACTGCGCCCGGATGTTCGCAACTAACGCTTTGACAGTCCCCCTTTCAGATCATACGCAGACATGTCAAATACGATGTATGTGTGACATGCTACGAATTGCACTCGTTGTGTACACTCGAGAAATCTGCACGCTCTCAATTTAGATCGGTATCGAAACGAGCCATGTTGATACGTTCCCCCCTATTTTGTTCTCGTAAACAGATATGAATTTTTTTAGTGAAACTGGAACTGTATTAACTCTAAATGTTCTCTGTGAAAAATTCTCCTTTTTATTTACAAAAACGATAACTCAAAATGTGTTACTCCTGTAGAAGATATTATGTAGAAGATATTATTTTTGAAGATCTTAAGAACAACATAGTTATTTGATGGACGGATTGTGAAGTTAAGTTAGTTTACTTTTAATTATTGATAGAGTAACTTTTATACCTAATATTTTCATGGTAATAACTCAAAAATTATTTTTTTAGTTATGTTATACATTTAGCAAAACGTAAATCTTTCGAAGTGCATTTGGAATATAATTTTTTTTATTGAATATTATAAATAAAAAACGGCCGAATTGGTTAATATTTTACAATGCAGTATATTATAGATATAGTTCCCTTTAATAGAGATATGTTAGTTGTACTGCAGTCATAGACAACAGAATCGATTCCTGTATTTAGGACAATATACATAAATCTTTCGAAGTTCATTTTCAAATTTACAAATATTAGTAGACTGAAACAGACGTCATGTCGTATTTCAACATCACTCTAGTATTTGATTTTAGATTACATGGTTTTAAAGCACGTGGTTTACTTTCTTGTTTGCGGTTTTGCTTTGTCAAACATAGTTATGCGGCAGTCAAACATAATTACATGTATGAATAACAACAAAGTTGATCATTTGAGTATATCATATACTTCCGATGTAGCGCACATACCAAGTGGTGATCCAGTTCAGTCCATGTCCTATGTATCGAAAATTCCCGATTCACGAAATTCACTGTACGCCGCGATATAACAGTAATGATTAAACGGATGCACGCGTAGTTGACTATAAATTGTCTTGTCGAAGGTCGGCGTCGCGTGAAAACGATCTTGCGTCGTCTTCTTCATCACGTTAACATCCGACGTGGGCGAGAGTGCTCTTCTCTCTGTGCTCCGAGATGAAATAGAAACTGACACCGTGAGATCAGAGAACGAATATTTTAGAAGAGACAAAAAGCAATTTATCGACTTAACGAACATCTTCTGGTAAACGATCGTACGATTAAACAACAGCATCATTGTGCAGGTACACGAATCTAACATCAAGATCAAGATCGAGATCGAACGACGCGCGCGCACATCACGAAATGCAGATTATCTGGTGAAGTGACAGTAACTGATGGTAGTCGCGCGACTATACAGATCATTTGCGCGGACGATTCATCACGGATAAATACCGGTCTAAGGAACTAAAAATTAGTTACGGACGCACAAATTAACGGACGGAGAACGATTCAATTCATCGGGTTCAACGGATAGACAACTGCGGACATCTAACCGCTCCGTGCTCCAATATCGTTTTATCCGCAAAACGTCGGTTACTCGTTCAGTCAAACGTCTACTTTTTATCGATCTACCTGCGAATATCTTCTATTATCTCGAAAAGCGTTGCTTAATCGGTAAGGAACGTGATATCAGTCACTCAAAAGCAGTGTTTCTTTCTCTTCGCCACTGTGCAATATAGTGAAACTTTACATCCTGCCATCGATCTTGATTCCTCACGATTTGTTCATAAAGATCGTAAAAGGTATGTTTTAATACTTTGCTATACAGAAGCTATTCCAAGTTTCCATGATTAATTGTTTTAGCATGCCTTTTGAATAAAAATAAAAGAATAAATTTATATAAATCTATAAAAGTCTTATTGAAAAGTTATAAATAAATATAAAGATTTAAAGTGTGTGTGTGTGGAAATAATTTGTAATAAATTTATAACGGATTTAATTATTAAATTTAATTATTAATTATTAAAGTTTCAAAATTTTGCCGCTAAATGTACTAGACGTGCAATAAATGTTTTGAGTGATAACACAGTACAACACATATTCCCTCCCGTGAAAAAATCAAAGAGAGTCTGAGAGTAGAAAAAATAAAAAAAAATACCCGTGTCTCGGCGTTTTACTAGATCAAATCGTTAACGTTTTTTATGCAGCCATTTATCGTATTTGCTTTATATTGGCTTTTTATAATTGTTTTAAATATAATAATTTTTTTAAATAAATAATTGACGTTTTACATGTGAAATTATGCGATGAATCCGAATAAAAAAAAACAATTGAGAATTATTTTTTTATATATTTTCAAATTTTAGTATAATAATAATAATAATACAATTATAATTATAATTGTTATAAGAATTTTGGTCGTTTGATTTGTCGTTTATATAATTCTGGTTGAATATCACGAACAATAGACCAATGGTATTCTCACCAAGCATGTGTTTGATGTCTTTTCCTTTGAAGCGTTTCTCGATGATCGTAATATCTTGATGAAAGCGTTCACCATGTTTATCAATGAATTCACCCAAATTCGGTGGAAAAAAATCTGTAAAGAAAATGTATTTTGAGCGAAGTGGATGCTCCTAATATCTACTTTCAGAATCTCTTTGAATTTTTCATAGGAGGAAACCTGTGCTATACAGTATTATAAAAAGACATTTGATTATACTTAAAAAACATTAACTGATCTTGATCTAGTAAAACGCCGAGACACGGGCGTTTTTTTTTACATCTACTTTCAGAATCTCTGTGATTTTTTCATGGGAGGAAAAAGAAATCGATTTCATCGCATCAAAATAATGATTACACGTCTATTTATTACATTTAGCAGCAAGGTTTTGAAATTTTAATAAGTATAAGACCGCTATAAATTCACTATAAATCATTTCCACACATACTTTAAATATATTTATTTATATATTGTAATCTTTAAATAAAACTTTTATAATTTTACGCATTTACGTAAAGAGTAGCACCAATCATTTAATCTATTTTGTGAATCTTGAAGTTCGAATCAAATTACCAAATGATGCTATAAAATAAGATATGCACATAATCTCAGAAAAATTTTAAATGAAAAATAAAATAGGCATTTTTTTGTGCAAAATTTAAAGACAATTTTTATTTAGTAAAGTTTATTTATGAAAAAGTTCGCTTGTGTTTGATTGAAAAGCTAATAGAGATCGTGTTTATTGAATGCTATATATTCAGCGCATTTATTTTTGTCTCTCTGCATAATACATATATGTTTGTCACAATCAATTTTATGTGACTGCAAAATATCTCATAAACAATAATCTTCCCCCCTAGAGAACTCATTTCCTTATCTATATATGTCATTATTAAAGAAGCATTTAACTTTTGCAGTATTTAACTGCAGTATTTAACTTTTCCAGCCAATGAAAGCAAAACTGTGAATTGAACCACTCTCTTCAAATCACTTATTCAATTGAATTCAATTTTCTTTTGTATATAAATTGACCTTAACAATTTATAAATGCACAACAAATTATCGTTCCAAATAGATAATTTAATATTCTGCATATCAAAGTCTAAATTAATTGTGATTTATACAAAGTAAGCTTCTTACGTGAAAAAATGATCGCCGTCTTTATTTTTTACATACAATTCTATTTTTAACATAAGTCAACGTATTTCGAAAATTTTCAGAAAAATAAATTTAACTTGCGATAAAATCAATAAATTTTTGTAAGTGAGTATTATAATAAAATTTCGTCTCACATAAAAGTTCGAAGAAAGATCGAAGATATACATCTTACAAATTATCGTAAGTAAAGTTTATATGACATTGAATACGGTTGTAGGCAGTATGAAATAATTAGTTGCGACAATATCGTGTAACCGTTATAGAATAACAGTGATCTCTATATACGCGGTATCGCTACAGAGAGTAAAAACGTTTACATGACTTTGTGGACAGGGTCATGGCTGTGAAAGAGTGGTTCAGGAGGCTTCAACCGGTGCAACTGTACCTGGTGTTGTTCTTCACCACGGCCTTCTTTTTGGTCGAGATCGTCGCCAGTCATATAACGCATTCGCTGACCCTTCTTCTCAATGCTTACCATATGCTCTGCAATATCGTGGCACTTATTGGTTGCATCGCTTCGATCAAGGTAAGTGCGAAAGATCCGTAAAATTCGTATTTGTCAGTCGTTCACAAAATAGCCTAAATCTATGCGCACGGTGTCATACTAATCTTTTGATCTAGTAACTACAGTTTATTACGTAGTAATTTTAAATATATTTCTTATGACGTAATTTCTCATATCATAAACGGATACTATCAAAGAGAAACTTAACTTTTCTCTTGGTAATTAAATTAGGGCCTTACTCTTAATAACCCTTAACTGCAGGTGTCGTGGGTTTATTAGACCTATAATATACACTAATTTCAATATAATATTTTTCTACGACACTATAGTTAATACGGGTTAAATATCATAATAACTATCCTTATTAATCCTTTGCTATATTAATGGTATTATAACGCAATCGATAAATATAAATAAGAAGTAGTAAAAGTCATATAATTACAAAAAAATTTGCTCTCAAATAATTTGAACGTTATTCTTTATTTTTATCAATTTAAGATAGCTTGAACAGAAAAATAAAAATAAATTGCATAATATATATATACATATATATGACAAGGTAACAGACTTTTATAAAACTTTTTAACAAACTCCTGACAGAGTGTTAAAATCTGTTCTCGCGACTCGCTATTTCGTACAGAAACAGCATGGTGGCAGCCTGTTTTTAATAAAATTTAACCATAAAAATATGACTAAAAAATACTGCTAATTACATTTATTTGATCTAACCTATATACATACATATATGTCTTTGTTTGCTGATGCGATTCACATGAAAACACAGATAGAAACCTCGCGTGAGATATTATTTTTTCCATATGAATTGATATATTTTCAAAAATTTTAAGAAAATACTGAGAGAGAATCTAGAATGTTTTTATTAAAACTTGTGATACACATCGCTTTAATAAGTGAACCAGATTCATAACAATGTGGATTATCCTTAGCGAAACTCGATATGCATGTGACATGCAATAAATTGATAAAGAGTCTTAGAGACAATTTTGTGTTACTAAAACATTTAAACATTATGTATAATAGTATATTCTCTATAATGCAAATTCGTAATTACATAATTATATATGTTGAGTAATTATATGTTGCTTACAGTATAGTTATCGTGAAAGATACAGTAACAACAGTAACTGCAATTCATTAGGAAATTCGTCCATTTGTATTAACGGTGAGGAACAAGGTTCTGTTACATCCTTATCGACAAAGACGAAGGTACGTTCAATAATACTCAAAAATAGAGATTAAAAAAGTATCTTCTCAATTTCTTTAATTTTAATCTTTTTTATAAAACTAAAATTGTAGAAGAATTACATTGAGGGATATTATATTTTGTTTGTTGGAAATAAATATCTATATTCTTACATTTTTATAATTTACCGTGTCCTATTAGTGTGCTTTTATATATTTCGATAAGTCATAAAGAAAACTAGCACAAATAAATAAGAAAAAAATTTTTTTTTAGTTTAGTTAAATTATTAATGCATACGATATCGAAGATAATATTTTATTTTTTGAGTATTAAAGTATTTTAAATATTTTTCGAAAGCTATGAGGAATTTATGTGAATCTAGCAATACGTACCGCAATATTTTAAGCTTGTCTCTATTAATGTGCCCTGTATTGGAGGTGAGAACGTTGTGTTATGAGTGTACTTTGAAATAAATATAATTGAAATAATGATTTATGTAATATTAACATAAACAATTAGCTTAAATTTATTACCTGTTTTAGTAACTATATGTTAAAATGAGTCAAATGTGGGTAGGCACACAAATTGGAGGCACATTGATAGGGCCATCGCCGCTTAGAGGACTCACTAATAGGGACAAAAACATGTTTACTATTTTTGTCAAAAGCATTATAAAGCATTAACATTTTTTAGATTAAACAAACATTATAAGAAAAAGAAGTAGTTGAAAAACCGATATTGATTGCAAGCAGATAAAATTAAAACTACAATAATTAATTCAGTAATAAGTAAATTGGCTAAAAGGCACATTAATAGGGAAAGTTATCCTAGTCTCCAGTAACAACAATTTTTGTTTACTGTAGGTTGGAAGGACATATATTGATAGCTTCTTATTAATTCTGTCAAACGTGCAATCGACATAAATATGGAAATCTCGCTTTACAGGAATCATGGTCGGACAGAAGAATGAAAAACACGTTTGGATGGGCGAGAATCGACATTGTTACGATGCTCGTCTGCTGCATCATCCTTGCTTCTTTTTGTTTCTCTTTACTGATGGAAGCATTGCAGACATTGGTGCATATCGATCATCTAGATGAAATGCATCACCCATTGCCAGTACTGTGTATCGGTGTTTCCGGGATACTTCTAAATGCTTTCTGCTACATTTTGATTGGGGGATTTACTTTCAATCAGGGCATCTTCGTGCATGTCACAAAGAGTGGTGATGTAATATTACGCAGGTAATTTTTGTAATTGTGCATTTTATAATAAATTCCAATTATAACAAATTAATCAAAAAATGTACAATAACATGGTACGTTTGAACATTTTACAAGTTTGTATCGATTAATTTTGTATCGATTAATTTTGCTCCTTATCATATACGAAATAATAAAGTTACACATACATTTATCAGTTTTCAAAATATTGTTAAAATGTATATTTTATAGATTATGCTAAAATTTTTTAAAGTTTTTTCTTTCGTAAGTAATAAGAAAATTCTGAAGTTCGAGATGTTCCTTTATGTATTTCTATCAATAAAAAAAAGTTTATTAAAATTTTAATAGAAACCGGTTTACGTATATTGTTTACTAGTGACACTTGACATTTCAGAAATGTGAGTTCACAAGAAACAAAGGATGGTGAGCAACAACTATCAGCACAGACTAGGCGAAGTCCGCTTGCGATACCAAAAAGTGAAGGTTTAAGAGAAATGTGTCGAGATGTTCTTGGGTGTGTTTTCGTCATATTAGTATCAATTTTAGTTTATTTCACCAATTCCGATGTAGCCAAATTCATTGATCCGGTCTTCGCTATTATTTCATCAATTTCGCTATTTGTTCTCTGTTATCCTTACAGTAAGTATATTTTAATATATTTAATATCTTCTTCTTCTTACGTTAGGCCTCTGGCCTGTGTACACCTCTCTCATATGCTTGTGGTGCATACGCTGATTATTCAATTGCCACAAGCGTATGGGTTATTACAGTTTTTTTTAATGCCGGTTCCGAAAGGCCGATTTTTTGAGAGGTATTTATATGTAGGCAAGGACCCACTCTCGGGAGGTTGCCGACATTTTCCGAGAGAGATACGAGCGTAAATATTTTGGTTCTTACCGGGATCTCTGGCATGATAGACCAGTGCGCTGTCTACCATGCCATGCTCGCACTCATATTTAATATATGTGCGATAAAAGAAAAGAAAAAAGTAGGATAAATAATACGTAAATAGTATAAGAGTATATTTATATATAAATATAATATTATAAGTAGCATAAATAATATATGTATAAATAGTAATACAAAGTGAAAACTATATTCGTAATACATATAATAAGTTAAAGTATTAATTTATTATGTACCTTGTATGTCGTGAATATTGTAATTTTCGAAAATACTTTAATTTATTTATTTAGTTTTAATACTTGTACTTTTTTACTCCCGTTTTGTTTTATTATTTTTCTTTACAGTGAAAGAATCAGGCCTGATATTACTACAAACAATTCCAAATCACATCAATATCGATTGTCTTAAAAGAGAACTATTGGTAGCTTTTCCGGGTATCGTAAACGTTCATGACTTACACGTGTGGCAATTAGCAAAACATCAAGCTATTTGTACAGTCCATATTGTATTTTTGAATCCAATGGTACACAAAAACAAATTTTATGAAGTTAATTAAAATAATTTATACATGTAATGGGAATACACTGGAATCTCATTATAGCGAATTTCGAAATAGCGCGAAAAATCCTTTCCGTGCTATGAGTAGCAGGAGTGGAAAGTAGCAATAGTCACTAAAATTTTGAATTTTGTTGATTTGGAATGAAGTAGGAGCAACAGTTATAGCATTCAGACCTACGATCATGTGCTATTACGAGATTTCAATGTACATTTAATTGTTATTTAAGAAACAAAGATAGTTTTATTCGATATTTTTCAATTTTTTTTAAATTAAAAAAATATATTTTTCTCATTTTTCTTTTGTTTTTTTAGGTTTATGCTAGCATTACAGAACAAGTTACTGCTTTTTTCGTCGAAATGGGTATCACGCAGGTCACTGTACAGCCAGAATTCCATAAAGTAAGATAACTTGTTAATACATCATTTTATGTTTAAAATCGCTTTATTGAATAATAATCTGTATCACAGATGAAGCCGAATACAGAGAAAACTGATTGCCTTATTGCATGTCATGGGGAACATTGCAGTTCTTCCCAATGTTGCTCGCGAGAAAACTTTTTGGAGGACGCATGCAAGTCGGTGAAAGATGCTCACACCATCAATAGAAGATACGATAAAAAGGAGAAAACATCAGCTGTATATGCGATTAGTTTGAAAAAGTTTACTATCAATGAGAAGGAAACCCTAGAACGGACTGTGAGCGATTCAAAATCAGAAGAATCTGTGCCTAAATCAACAAACGAAAATGCACGTCACTCGAAACAAATACAAAGCGTTGTAAATGTTAATTCTGAAGTCAGTGCCTGTGCGATAAATTTAACCAATCGAATATCTACAAATGTCGATCAAACATCTGTAACTGCCGATAGCAATCTACACCACAGCGTCGTATCTTAAGTCTATCATTCAGGCAGATAATTGTTTCAGTTTAATTATTTTAATCTTGGTACTGTCTTACCTGAAAGAGATTACGTGTGACGTTCACACAATAAACGCCATGATTTTTAAGCTATTTTCATTTGATAAACAAAATTAGTAGATAAAAATTTATCAGTGCTATCGTAACTACAATCTCAAGTATATTTGAAGTCATGTTAGCGTATTGAGAAATCAGAAGTACTATAATCTTTTTTAAAAAGGGAAATTGTATTTTCTTTTTTTTTTTTGTAGTATTGTAATAATGACTTTGTTGGAAAAGAATATTTACTCCAAAATTGTTACTAAATTTAGACATTCAAAAAAATTGCAAAAATTCAAGTTGCATTCTATTTTTTTGCAGCATGAAGTTTATTTCCTATTACACTAGAAAAGGAAAATGTAGAATTAGAAATAAATTATTTGATAGTAAAAAAATTATTGTTTGAGCCGTGATATACGTAAGGATATTTAACGAGAAGACTGCAAAATAGTATTAAGTTTCTATGGTCACATATAACATAACTCATTGCAATAAATAGTTTCATAATAATATCGTATAAACATTCGGATAACACGTGTGCTATATAGTTATTAGAGAAGCGTAATACTGACTTTATTAATTGTACAAGAATTTATTTCTTTTTAGCGTGAATATTCTTCGAATGAACAAAACAATAATTAATCGATCAATATTATTATATTTGTTATGTTTGTCAATGTAAGCCACTTAGGTCCGTTTCCACCAACGCAGATCAACTTTAATCTCGGTTCAACTTACTCTCTGTCTTTTTCTAGTTCTAAAGATTAGAAAAAGACAAAGAGTAAGTTGAACCGAGATTAAAGTTAATCTATATTGGTGGAAATGAGCATTAAGGGATCATACAATGCTCGATTTCTTGAATGACAAGCACGCTAAAATATGTTCATGCATTGAGCGCGAGATGCTGATATATGCATGATTTCTATGCTTATTATGCATATAAATCATAAAGTTGTTTTCTTGCACGGACCAATCAAAAAATTAAAAATGGATTTACCTATAGCTCATCTTCAAAAACAATTGTGCTAATTTTATCGTTAAGCATGAGTATGCATGCATGCTTTATAACTTTATATCATTCAAGAAATCGTATTTTTCAGATTTACTTTCTATCAATAATCAAACATAAAACCTTTTTGAACAACAACAATCGAATAATCTACGGCAAATATTAAAATACGTTGCTAATGATTTACTATATCTATTTTTGAATAAATGTCATTATAAACATATATCAGATATTTAGGTATAACGTAAATTTTTATATTAATTAAAGAAAATTTATTAAAACTTTTCGCGCAAAGAAAAGAAATTAGCATAATTAATAAACCGTTTGACTTTAACAGAAACTCGATCTTTTTAAACGAGAAAATAAAATTAAAGATAACAATGTAACGATAACGTGTCATTGACTGCAATTCCTATGCGATTAGTATCGGAAACTTGCTGCTGATAGCAATACAGTCCACATTCTATCTTAAACTTTTTAGGGTCGTATTCAAACAGATATTATTTAATCTATTGTCTGCGACTAGAGACGCCACAAGCTAGTATGCGAATTATATGCTATTAGCAAAGAAAATATTAGTTACAAATTTTTAATAAATTAGGAAAAAAGTCTAAAAATGTTTATAAATCTATATCTATTTAAAAAACATTTTACATTTTAAAGTTTTTTGTTATATATTAAGAATTTATTATATGTCTAAATTTTTAATAATTAAAAAAGCTTGAAATAATTAAAAGTAGTTATTTGTTTTAGCTTTTTCCGTTTTCTTATATTTTTTATTTAAAAATGTCAAGTTTTTTTTATCATTCAGAAATTTCGATTTCTTTTAAGTGGATGCTAAATAAATTTTGCACAAAGAGACCTTATATAATAGCAACAATCTTATTTGCAACAATATCAAATTGCACAAAGAAATGTATGAAAAGTTAATGATTATTTATAAATATAAAATGAGAGAATATAATAACGGAAACTGCGGTTTGGATATAGCTCACACTTTTATTATCATGTCCAAAGAAATTATTATACACTCTGATGAGATATGAAACATAGAAACACCTAAAATATTTGCAATAAGGAAGTTACCATATAAATACTGCTACACATCAGATATAAATATTATGTTTATTTGATTCATGTTTAAATTTAATTATCTTTTATTCATCAGTTTTATATAATAATATTATTACTATTCTTTGGCAACTCAATATTCTTCGTTATTTATAATATGTTTATTTTATCTACTTTGCTATTATAATAACTTTTACATTAAATTTTAACTAATAATAGTATAAAATTTAATTCAATTATCAATTTTAATAACATTTTAATTTCATAACTCATTGACAGACACTATAATGCCATTATTATATAAATTTATAAGCTTTAACTAACATTTACCTACAATCTTTAATAATGATCTTTAATAATATTTAATTATATATATTTTCAAAGTTTACTTATTTTAATAATTTAGCAAATAATATATAAAATAGTAATATTCCTTATAATAAAATAATAAAAACTGTATATAAAATTATATATAATTTTATTGCTTCTTTTTTATATACTAGTTAAAAGAAAGTTACAGAATGTTACCAAAAAAATTACTCTGAAGAAACAAAGACGTGTTAATTACGTCAATTCTTCCTGCTAACTCGTTTAATAATCGCCAGTTTTCACAATTAGCTCATGCTAATATAAAGGTTTCAATAACATAGAGTCGCATTGGAAGAGGGATAGCACACAAAATGTTAACGCAAAGAATCAGTGTAAATAATTGTTATAAAATAAAATTATCAGCTTTCTAAATATAAAAAAAGTGACACTATTTTGTAAATTCGTTAAAAATTAGCCGTTTAGCAGCAAGTATCTCACACCCGAAATAACAAACTGTTTTAATATTTCGTGCTGTATGATTCAAAATATCTACATCCCTATTTATATACAACTTCCTAATCTTCTAAAAAGGAAATCTTTAATAAATTGCAATTTACGGGCGTATGTGTACATATGTAAATGAATTCATTCTATGAGAATTACACTTGTTTACAGCAAAAATGATTTTCAACCGGATTAGGTATTTCTTATAAATATTTATTTGAACGCTGAAAACGCGCGTGATACTTCAAACCAAAAAATTTTAGCACGTCAGGTTTCAAAGATAATTGAGGTTTAATGTGCAGAATATGGCTTTTCTGACAATATTTGATATTTTTTGTAAAGAAGGTTAATGTTATCTTGAAATTCCAATAAGAAATTATAAATAAAAAAAATTATTATTTATTCCCTATACAATGCACACACACACACATATTTAGAAATTTCATTATTTTATTTTTTAGTCATGTTATTAAGGATTTATAAATTCAGGGTTTTTCTATAATAACACATTTTAAGCCTATGATGATAAAGTCATATACATTTCTAGTTTGTGATTATCATACACATAAATCAAACAATTTTTATCCAAAGCATTTTTATCGAAAATACATTTTTTTCGATATTCGAGGTAGATAATTAAAATTAAAATGAGTACACCCTGTATATATGCATATAGGATGTCCCAGATTAACTGCGCCACCTATTTAAAAACTAGGGAAGTGGTTTTTATGAAAAATTCTAAAAATTTTGATAAATGAATCGGCAGATACACTCCATCAAATCGTGATACTTTCAACTTCCGGTTTCAAATGGAAATCGGTTATTCAGACTAAAAGTCGATATTTTAATAAAATAAGGTATTTTGTATTGCAAATTCGGGTTCTATGCGAAAAAAACATAAAGCTTAATTTTGTACTATTTTTTGATAAATGTTAATCTTCAAATGACGTTTAAAATTTTGGTTTAAATTTAGACTTTCGGTCTGAATAGCCTATTTCCATTCGAAACCAGAAAATTGAAAACATTACTATTTGATCAATTTTTGCATAATAAAACATCAATACTATATAAAAACTTTTCAATATCAATATTTTAAATTAGGTTTAATATTTAAAGTTGTAAAGTTTTAACTCAAGTTTTACTTCAAATCCATTTTACTGGCAAAAATTGTAACAACAGTTCTGCTGGTGCTTTGTCATTTGCGTGTACTATATCAACTTTATTTATTTAACTCTCCTGTTCAACACTATAATTCTGTCTATGTGATGCATGGCGATAAAGATAAAAATTTTAATTATATAATGTAAAAGCTACGTAAAAAGAATAATAATTTATATTTTCGGCAAATTAGATATCTCGATGAAAATATTACCTTTTTATTTATTTATTTATTCGATATTTGAACGTTAAGCAAATTTATAAACACCCAAGTTGTATAAATTCACAGAAATAGAAATAATTTTCAAATAAATTTTAGTATTTTCGAATACATATTAATTTATATATATTTAACATATATTTAACATATATTTTATGAGAACATGAAATATATATTTAGATATTAACTCATAAATTGATGTTTCTATTACTTTGATAAGTATAACATATGATTAACATAAGTGTATTTATAATATACTTATATATGTGAGACACAGAGTACAAAATTTTATTTGATTTTATTCAAAAATTTTTCGCTCTTAAAAGTCGTAGATGATCCATATTATTCGATCACGTCATCATATCTAATTTCTCCGATACGATATAGGCGAGTCTTTTCAGAATTGGAGCAGTAGTTTCACATACCAATCTACAGTGTAGTTTATATATATATTTTTATACACACGATTGCCGGTCGGTACGATTGACGATCTAAAAATCAGTTCAATGTAAATGTCTCTCGTAAGAGGCGAATGATGTCGAGAGATGACGTTGTCTCTTGTAAGTACTCGAACGGGGAACCTGCCGGGTGGGGCCTGTTGAGTCGCGCCTGCGGCGAGCTTCAGTATGAAAGTCTCCGGAGTAGAGAGTGTCTGGGTCCACAAAGAGAGATTCCGGTACCTCCTCTTTGGGACGCAACGCGTCCAATCTGTTCGTGTTGCATCAGTGTACAAAATTCAGTTGCTCTGTGTCGATGTACGAAGATGTGAGAAACCGATAAGATGTGCGAGAAATGAAAATGTTGCCGTACCGCGCACGACGTGTTCAGGCGCTTATTGTCTT